TATTTTAATTACGTGTATTGTGTTTGTATCCCCTTTTCCCCTTTCGAGTTGTTCGCCGCCCTGAGTCCCTCCCAGAAAAGGGTGGCATACAAATAAACTAAATCTAAATCTAAAAAGAGTAGAAACATCCTGTCAGTGAAAGTAGCTGGCATTTACGGGAGGTGCCCCTGTTCCCCTTTTTCCCCATCAACAGCCAGCATCCTGGATGCTTTGTTGAAGTGATGTCCCAGGTGCCATGACAATATCATGAAAATGCCATGCAATATATGGTGGATGGTATATAGTACATAACTTGTACATGATGCACATGACATCACTTGCTCTCGTCCCCCTGAATATCATGTCCATTCGTACGTTACCACGTCTGTTATCACATCACCATGTCCATTATTAACTGGCCACTGATATAGAATGTTGTTATGTCTGAGTGTAGCACTTATATAGCATAATTTCCCATAACAAATTGGCTATTAGGCTTCATTAGTTATCTTTGCTTAGTGTCTTGTGGATTCAAATTAAAAAGCCTTTTAACTGATCAAAAAATTTAATCACAGTTGATGGGAGAAATTACAAGCAAGCATAAGAATTTGTTCTCTGGTGAGGACAGAGCCCGAATTAGCTACTGTGGTTACCCAAACACATCGGTGTTTGCTATTACATACAGCATATCTTTTCTTTATGTACTTAGGTAACACAGGAGGAAGGTCAGCAATTAGCACGGCAGTTGAAAGTAACCTATATGGAAGCTTCAGCAAAAATACGGCTCAACGTAGATCAAGCTTTTCATGAACTTGTCCGAGTTATAAGGTAAACCTTGAATTGCAAATGCATAGAAATGCACTTTAACCTTTTTTTCTTAAAAAAATTAGATTTTCTTCCTTTCCATTTTATTATTTGTGGAGTTTATTCTTTGTTTTATATACAGAGAGGGCCAAAGTCATAGGTAAAATTGTCATGTTTTGGGGAAAAAATACTAAACCTAGTGTAAGGTGCAGATGAATTCTCTTTATTAGCAGAAGGTATGTTATTTCAGGTATAGTAATCTCAACAGTATTAGCTTCTGTGTCTCAGGTAAATAATTTGCCCAGAGTTACAGGATGCTTTTTTCTTTAGATAATATAATGACTCCATTTCAGTAATATAACTCTGCAATGGATCAAAATAAACAGTTTTTTTCAAATCCGTTTTCAGTTCATTTTTTAATCAGTTTCTTAAAAGAGAGTGCTTATTTTTTGTGCTTTTATTTTTTCTATTAACATGATATTCTTTGGAAAATTATTTCCAATTATTTTCTCAAATTTGGAATCTCTTTTCTTTGCCATCCTTGTTTTTTGATATTAATGTTATCAGTAAAAAAATGCCTGCTGCTAAATACTTTGAATATACCAGAGATGGTTTTTAATTAATGTTATCATATTTTTATTATATCCATATTGTTGGCATTACTGAATTTACACTTCTGCTAAGATTTTTTTTAAATTAAAAGTCTTTGATATGACATCTCACATAGAAAGTCCAAACTGGGTTACCTAAACAATAATATCGTTCTAATATTAAGCAGAATAAAAATAAAATGAAGAACTATCCATTCAGATAGCAGTAGCAGGGGGAGTTAATGGCTAAAAAGGTTTTTAACAGATGTCTTTCTATAAAGGAAGACATCTATAAAGGAATATGCTAGCATGGATTATCTTCTTGCTACTTCCCCCAGCTATTATTTTGTGATAGGATGGTTCTGTGATTGAATGGTGATATCAATCTGGGTCTTCGCAGTCTGTGTCCAAAATATTGGAAATCCAATGTCCTGTCCTTTGAAATATGACCACAAAAGTTAAGCCTGGAACATACGAGTTGAGCATGCCAACTAAATATTGGCAGGACATGCTATAGTATAAGAGAGGAAGCTAGAATGGAAACATTCCGGATATTGCTGACAAGGCATGCTGTACAAAATGTGAACAAATATCTAAATAGCCCATCTCAGTTATACCCATTAGTGTGAAAAAAAATCACTTCCATCCACTTTACTTTTATGTGGGTGCAAAGTGCTGTAATTAGCCTGGGCTCAATGGATTCCAGGTGGACTTTAGAAAAGCAAGGCAGGAAGAAAATTGACTCATTTGAGCTGTGGTGCTGGAGGAGTCTCCTATGTACTCCTTGGATAGCAAAGGTGACTAACAAGCAAGTACTGGAATACCTAACATCAGTTATGTCACTGGAAGGCAAAATCACAAAACTGTGTCCCACTTATTTTGGGCCATGTCATGTGGGGGAATTCACTGGAGAAAGCAGTTAGGTGCAGAAGAGTTAGTGGTAAAAGGAAACTAGCGGTAAAAGGAAACCAGGCACTGAAGAACATGGACACCATCAAAGCTAACACCAGCCAAAGCATAGAACAATTCAAAGAAGTAGCGCAAGATCGGAAGATGTGGAGGGACCTGACCCATGGAATCAATAAGATTTGGACATGACTAAATGGATAACATCTTCATCAACAGAGTCTTAAAATTAAATTTCACTCCCATTTTGGGGGGATGGGTGCATGAGAGGAAACCTGGCTGTCAGCCCTTGGGCTGCCATTTGCGTGGCAAGTGGGTCTAGCATCGCATCACTGCCGCAACTAGCAATAGCAATAGCAGTTAGACTTATATACCGCTTCATAGGGCTTTCAGCCCTCTCTAAGCGGTTTACAGAG